TTAGGTCTTGGAGGGAAAAGGGTGGCTCTGATGTCATTTTGGGCTGTGCAGTGGAACAGGTGATGATCCACAGTCTCATATGCGTAGTTACACAAGGTTCACATGAGGGGTAGTTCTGGTTTATTCTGTTCAGGTGGAAGTTGAGCTCTATGTTCTGTTCGTATTTATAGCTTTAATGCTGCGAATTTCCATTTTCTAAAAAAATGCTCAATGTGCATTACATTACACCACTGTATCTCCAATGTTTTTCACACAACCTTACTCATTTTTCTTACAACAGTGATGATATTTTGCTGAGTGGAGTATGTAGGTACTTGCTTGGGAACAGCCCTCGGATGTTGTCAAAAAATGAGCAAAGAAAAAAATCACTATTTTTAACTATGAATTTGCTAACAGCAGCCAGGAATTTTGATTTGATTTTTTTATGTGCACTTTTGCCACATCTTGTGAAAAATATCTGCGGAAAAACTATCTTTTTTTTTCATTGATTTGTTATATCCGACTGTGATAATAAAAAGTTAGACAGCCTCCAAAATGTCAAAGAGAACGTTAGATGGTGACCTGAAATAGGTGAATGTCGCGAACAGTGTCAGTTTCATGCAGAAAAAACTCAAAGGGGGGTGGAGGGGAAGTGGTCACATATACAGTTGATTGTCTTGGACAGGTGGTCATTAGAGCAGGCTTGACTTTATCTTCATTTTTAGTGATCTGTTGTATCTAACTCTGATAGTAATGTATGTATTATATGTTGTATCTAACTCTGATAGTAATGTATGTATTATATGTTGTATCTAACTCTGATAGTACTACACCTATTATATGTTTCTAAATTGCCTTCTTGTATAGCTCATTATATGTTTCTGAATCGTTATCTTTCCTGATTAGCTCAAATGATCTGTAATGTCTAAGTCTGATAGTAATACACCTATTACATGTTTCTGAACCGCCTTAAATTCTTGTATAGCTTAAATTATCTGTAATGTCTAACTCTGATAGTAATACACCTATTACATGTTTCTGAACCGCCTTAAATTCTTGTATAGCTTAAATGATCTGTAATGTCTAACTCTGATAGTAATACACGTATTATATGTTTCTGAACCGTCTTCTTGTATAGCTCAAATGTTCTGTAATGTCTAAGTCTGATAGTAATGCATACATGTATACTATATTATGTTTCTGAATCGCCTTCTTCCTTATATAGTTCAAATGGTCTGTAACGTCTAACTCTGGCAGTGATATTATATCTTATTATAAAGTAATATGTTTCTGCGTTGCCTTCTTCCTCGTTTAGCTCAAATGATCTGTAGTGTCTAACTCTATTATAAGATTCTGAATCGCCTTCTTTTTTTTTTGCTCCAGTGATCTGTTATGTCTAACTTTTTTTTCTTTTTTTTTTTTTGGTAAGTGTTTTACGGCATTCACAACTGCTTAAGGTCATATGATGACCGTGCTATGTCCAACTTTGATAATAACACATGTAATATGTTATTGAATCGCCTTCTTGTTTAGCTCCAGTAGCCTACTAGTGATCTATTAGGTCCAGCTCTGATAGCAAGACATCTGTTATACCTAACTGTGACATTGATACACATAAAATGTTTCTGAATCGCCTTCTTGTTTAGCACCTGTACTAGTGATCTATTATGTCTAGCTCTAATAGCAAGACATCTGTTATACCTAACTGTGATATTGATACTCGTAAAATGTTTTGGAATCCCCTTCTTGTATAGCTCCAAGTCCATCGACCGACAAAGTTCATCCTGATCCACGTGCACACAGACTACATGAACGTAACGTCCGCCGAAGTGAAGGACAACTCGACGCAGGCGCCGGTCAGTATACGCAGGACTTTCGTCTACAAGCCGAATGAGTTCTACGTCATTGAGATGTCGGAAACCATCAGCTCTCCCGTGATGGTCGAGCTGCAGTTTGAGGGATCCATGACCAAGACAATTGTCGGCATTTATAAAGGGACGTATCTGAACACAGCCACCAACCAGACAAGGTTTATTCGCCAGTTTTTCTTTTCTTGGTTTTTTTTTCGTGTGTGTGTGTGTTTACAGTGTTGTTGTTGTTGTTTTTTTAATGAAAATAACATATAATTTAATTTTTTAATTATATGTATATCTACACATGTGTTTTTACCATTTCTGTACAGCGAAGAAAAACTTCCCACTGGGACAAAAAAAGTATCTTTGTTTCTATCTAATCTCGTGTTTATTTTGGTTTAGTTTGGGAGGGGGAAGGGGGGGGGGGTTCATGACTATCAAATTATACTTGCTGTTTTGGGGTTGAGGTTGGTTTATTCAGTCAAAAGATTTTTAGGTGTTTAGGTGTTCTGATGTACTATTTTCTGAAACTGTGGTTTAGTTCTGCCTTGATTACTTTGGTCCATGTGCAGTTTAAGGGATCTATGACCAAGACAAAAAATTAATGTCAGCATTTCTAAAGGTATGTATCTTAAATCAGCCACCAATGAGACCAGGTTTGCAGAGAAATTTTTGTGTTGTTGTTTTTGGGGGGTTTTTTGTGGGGTTTTTTAATTCTCCCGACTCTGGTATCAAAGTTGGGTTTCAAGTGTGCAATAGGCATGCCCACTGCACCACAATACTAGTCTTTGATTTTTTGTTGTTGTTTTATAGCTCTGTTTTTGTTTGGAGTTTTTTTATGACTATTGCTTGTTTTTATTGATTGAAGTATCCATTTTTTCTGTTGTGCTATTTTCTGAAACTGTGGGGGTTTTTTGCCTGAATTACTTTGATACTTTGACAACACATACTCGTATTGTTTCGGATTGAGCTTAAGATGATTTTTGTGTCTTGAGGGGAATAAAAATAAGATATTATTAAATATTCTTTTTAAAAAGGTGGGGGGAGGGGGGTAAACTTAAAAATGAAATTAAAGTTTAACATGAGCTTTATCTTAAAAGTAAGTTTTCCTCGGGATTAGATATGACTAACAAATTTCTAGGAAGTAATAAATAAAATAGGCACATGAGCAATCCTATGTGCAGCTGATAGCACTTTAAAGACAGCTGTAATAGTTGTTATTGAATTGAATTTTATTTCCTCTTTACACTTCATCAATTATCCTCGGTTTTTTCTCTTCAACGTTATTCTATTCTCTGCACAGACACCTAGCGGCCTCCAAGTTTGAGCCCACTTTTGCCCGGCAAGCCTTCCCATGTTTTGACGAGCCAGACATCAAGGCAGAATACAGCATCACTTTGCTTCATCGGCCTGGCTATGTCGCTCTCTCCAACATGCCAAATACAGGAGAGGTAAGATTGATCAAGTGGTAAGTGAGTGGGAGAGGGGGAGAAGAAGGGGAGGGGTGGCGGGCAAGGAAGGAGGGAGGAAGACGGAGACAGGGGGAAGAAAAGAGAGAGAAGAGAGAAAGAAAGAGGAAAGCCGACAAACAAACAGGCAGATAGAGACAATGGTGGGGAGAGAGAGAAAGAAAGGGAGGGAGGGAGACAGACAGAGAGAAACAGAGAGAGAAGCTTACAGACAGGCAGACAAACAGGCAGACAGACAGAGTGCAGCATCACTTTCCTTCATCGGCCAAGCGACGTCACTCTCTCTTCAACATGCCACGGACAGGAGAGGTAAGATTGATCAAGTGGTGAGTGAGAGAGAGGTGGAGGGAGTATAAAGGGAAACAGAGAGGGGGGAGGCAAGGAGTGGGGAAGACAGAGGGAGAGCAAGGGAGATAGAGAGTAAAGAAGGAGGAGAGAGAGAGA